GTAAATACTGCCACAAATGCCAGGATGTACCCGAATACAACGAACCACCAAGGAAACCTAACAGGCTTTCGAGGGGGTTTGGGTGGTTTTGCGGGCGTCTCGGGTGGCGGGGGAGGGGACTCTCGCATCATCTCATCAAATTCAGCAATAGCTTTGACGAGGTCAGATTTGTCGTCCTTGGTTTTGGCTTCCTTGTGAAGTGCTAGCACGTTTTCCACTGCTTTGAACATCTTCTCGTCCTTCTCCTCTGGCACGAGGGCCTTCCTTGCCACAGCCCATTTGTCTGCTTTATATGGGAAAATTGACTTGTCGGTTTTTCTAGGTCTACTCCGCCGAAAAACTTCCAGCATGATAAACGTAGGGGGGACCACAAGAACACTGGCAATCAGACCAACATACACCTGTCTGAACGTGATCACAATGGGGCCGATGGCGATACCGTTTCCCTTGTCCTCGTTTTCAGTATAGAACATAGCGTTCGATATCATACACAAAAACAGGACAGCCAAGCACGTGGTCAACCGCTGAACTCTCGTGAGACGACTGGGCGTTGGTCGCTTGGCAACGGAAAACCATAAATGGTCATCGAATATCTTCTTCTTGGCGTTGTTGCTAAGGAGGAAGGAGAAGTCCTCCAGGGCCGTCTCGTCCGCAGCTGTTAGCAGCCTGTCGGTGTTGCCGTCGTCCTTGCAGATGGAGAGCCACTCGTCACAGAGAAAAAGATATCTGAATGAAGAAGCGGGTTATACAATGTGGTAAAGGTTGTTCTTCAACATGCACATGGGCTCAGCACTGTGTAATTATTTTTCCATTTGCACGTAATTTATTTATTTTTCATTCTCCTCTGTCTTATATTTTAACCTAAACACATTCTAGAATGATTTTATGACTTATATAAGAACGATTTCATTATGGGATTGTGTGTGCGATTTTATGTACAGTACGTACTTTTTTATGTCTTTCACCCTTGAGATGGGAATAAATATATATCAGTATGTACTATTGATTATTATCTGTAGACCCCTCTCTCTCTCTCTCAGCAAGACTTACCTGTCCTTGGTAGTGACGTCATAGACTGTTATCTTGTCCAGGTGCCAGCTGGAGGCGTCATCTACCTGGCAGTGCCACACGTGGAGGTGGGTTAATCTGCCCAGTGATCGCGGGGTGCTCAGGACAAAGTTACACACTTTGCCGCGTTTGAAATTCTAGAAATTAATAAATATTGAAGAAATGAGTAATGGAATGAAATTAATTTATCCTTACTAGCGCCTAACCGGTCAAATAAAAGAAAACTCAGCCAAAATTTGTAAGTAAGTAATTTTGCACCACCTGGTCCAGTTATTCTATACCAAAATTGAAACTTTGAAACCAATGACTAGCTAAATATAGGACATTAACGTTTGTGTATGAAGTGAACTTTCTATGACCAAGTATCGCTGTGCACGTGTTTGTATTATGTAATTAAGTTCGCATTTAGGTTGGAGAAGTTGATTTTCTAAACCTAATACATGTATCTTTCGCAGAAATTACACGTCGTTGTCGTTGTCATGCAAGAATAACGTTTACACACCATATACTTGAACAGTGTCGTGTAACCTACCTCCCTACTGCGATCCAGGAGTACTTTCGGTTTCGTTCTTCCCTCAGTGCCATACAGTATGACGTATGGAATGGCTGTAGTGTGCTTGGGGGACTTGGAACTGGTGAAAACACTGAGAAGATAGTGCTGCTGATCCCAGCGCTGGTTTTCCAACAGATGATGGTGAACCCACTAGAAAAAAAATAAATAAGGGATATTAGTTCTAACCGTGTTTTTGTTCTCCCAAATGCATTTGTGTCATTTTTCAGTTATCTATCGAACACATGGCATTATATGATGTAATCGATGTGTCATTTCGTAGTCAAGATGATGCTGTGACGTAATGGTGACGTCCCAACTACAGTGTATGACTGTTAAGTAATTTGGAATTTTTTTTTGAGAAATCAAGGTTACCCATGTTGGTGTAATAACATTATTCAGTTATACAATTTTGATAATCGGAGATTTTTCGCAACAATTCATATTACAACGAAAGTATTACGGTAAAGATGCAAAGAATTCGTGCAAACAAACTTTCAGTATATAAACTACAGTCACACAACAGCAGTTAGTGGAAGTATTGATATTAATAGCTTTTATAATCTTATTACCAGTTGTAAAGATTATGTGTTAATTCCTTAAATATTGGTCGTTCGGTAATTTCAAATTATCCTGATGATAGGTTATACCTTAGATGCGGTAATTGGATAATGTATCAATTAACCAATACTTTTATGTATTTATTTTCTGTAGAAATACCCGTTGACATGATTGTCCATATGAAAAGTTATCATGATTTCGTAGATTAAAAAGACCAGCAAAAATGAATAATAACTAAGTGCATAATACAGCTTATGAAATTTTTCGGTTACATTGTACAAATACAAAATTAAGTTTTGCTTACGTTCTCCATGTCCTGCTTGTCTTTCCTCCTTGCCCATATCAACAGTAAGAAATACAGCGCCACCAGGGAGCTCATCACTATCAGCACGTGTGGCGCCTGCGCGAGGAGGGCACTGAAGTTCCCGAACACTTTGCCGAAGTCAATTGTGTTAGGTGGGACGAACAGGCCCGCAGCAAATGAGCCGAAGAAGTTGCTCTTGAAAACCACTTTGTTGGATTTAGAGGCGCCTTTAATCTGAAACACAAATCGTACAACATTTAGCTGTGGCCGAAATATTAGATACTTAAGACGAGTTGTACATGCACGATAAGAATGCCAAAGCCCATTTCTCAGTTTTTGCTGTCTCATTAATGCGCTTTTTATGAGAATGACATTTGTTTCGAATTCGAGATTAGTTTGAGGGGGAATTATACATTACTCTTATATAAGTCTAAAGCATTGGATCACAGAGAGTGTACATGTAAACCCATAGCAAAAGCAAACACTACATGTACCTTTAGTCCCGAAGGTGAACCCCACGATTTAGATGTGCGGTTATATGAGGACGGGGTGATTGCAGTGGACCGCATACTCAGGGTACCATTGCCGCCTGTCGATAGGAGGCGCCTGCTACTTCCGCCACCTGATGAGGTGGCTGAGTCTGCACGTAAATAACGTTGAAGAAGCGCAAAATTATTGTCTTGTTTAAGAGAGTTAATCACACTATGCGGTTTTCGACTGTTTTAATGCAGGATAATTAGTGAGAGCCATGTCTTTTTTTTTTAATCTTTGATTCTTAACCTCACGCTTGCAAGCGGATAGTTGTCTATATTATAATAATATCGATAAATAATCCATACACAACACTGTTAAGCCAATCACCAATATAAGATAAACTTCATAAATAAATAGATAGGCCTACATAAATTCATTAATAAATATTAATTTAATTAATTAGTATTTAAATTATTTACATTAATATAAGGGATCAATCAAACTTCCCATAGATTTATCGGTATAACAAAAAAATTAGGTTTGTGTTTCATACAATCTTGCACTTACCCTCCGCCAAAAGAACCGATAAGCCAAGCTTTTGTGCTGTCCCTAATGACTCCTGTGGTACAACTATCACCAGCGTCCCATCATCAAATTCTTCGTTCACGTCGATATTTTTGTTGGAGCTTTCCACGGCAGACGACACAACGAACCGGAAATCATAACTCTGCTTCGTAGCTTCTCCGTCCAGCTTGCCTAGGAAAACCAGCGTCTGGTCAGGAGGAATGTCGAAGGACAACAAGATTGCGGCGTCTTGGATGGCGATGGTTTGAGAGATCCCGTTGTCGGTGGTCATGTTTTCCATGTTTGCTTGAGTTTCTTCAAATTTCATTGCTGCTCCGACTTCGGCCTCGACGAAGCCACCGTCCAGTGCTGCCATCTGTCCCGAGTCCGTCTTCATCTCGAATGTAGTAACTCCGGAAGTGACGTTACTTCCGCCCGGAGCGTACTTGAATGCGTTGTCTGCCATTGCTACCAGCTGAAGAGAAATGCGGAAAGTGTTGAGAAGAAAGCGAATGTCAGGTCACTGGGTTTTGCAAAGGCAACTTAAAGGAGAAGGGAAATGGTTAAACTGAATAAAGTATAAGTCGTACTGCACCCGGAAGAATGATTATTTCATGATTTCAAGAAAATATCAAATAAAAAAATTGATATTTTTTATTTGATATTTTATTATTTTAATTTTGGATGCTATTTAAAGATCCTCTGACATCGGAGGATACACTGTAAGCTATTAGATTTCATACCTTGACATTAACGGGTTCCGTTGTCGCCAGAGCTCCGTTGATTTTGATCGTAGTCGAGCTAGTGGTGAAGTTCCCCGCAGCGGCTTGACTACCAGCAACCTTCTGAAGTGTCATGGCGACAGACTTGGTGTTAATTACCACTGGAGGAGAGGAGGTATTCATGCCCCCCAGGATTGTGTCGCCGATAGAGTTGACGAGCTGTTCAGACTTCTCAGCTCGTGCCTATAAAAGAGAGTTCATAATCGGTAACCATGCATAAAAATTACAAACTCAAAAAAGGTAAATCTGAAATACAGTTGTTATTTTAAGGTCTTATTTTTGTTTGAAATACGTATGTGTAATATATATACATTTCTCTTGCATGTACCATACTCTACAGGTAAATAACGCACAGAAGACATGACGTGTCTTATAAAAACTTAAATATTTAATAAATTCTTAAATGCGTGGTCAATTTGGCTATTTGCATGTTCCCGACCAAAAGACCCCTCTCCTTTCTTAAGAGTGGTATTTAGAATATGTTTAAATTATATTAAAATGTATGTATTGACCCAAGGTTAGTCTTGGATACATGTTGACTCGAATTTGTGTTTATAAATGTCTGCACATTCATTAACATTAAAGAAATTAATGAAAAAGAAATAAATAAAAAACGAGCATGCATAGAAACACAGATAAAAAGCTGAATATAGAGCTAGGTTAACTGCCATCTTGGATCAATGCAATGTGAATAACATTAGGCAATGCTATTCAAGAGACCATCAGTACTCACCGCCTTGGCTGCAGTTGCGTTAGCACTGTCCGTAACGTTACTGGCTGGGTCATCACCTAACGTAGCTGACAGCAAGTTGCTAATGGTACCAACGATGGCTGAAATGTAACAGAAAATGTGTTTAGTCAAGATCGGTGTAATGAGATAAGGTGATCAAGCCAAAAATAAAAAAAAAATTATTTCAAAGGTAGTCTTCAGTGGTAGGTCCAGGGGGATGGGGACAGTAAGTGACGTGTTCCCCACCTATTTGGAGGGTAATCCCTGACCCCAGAAAAGTTAAACAAGCGAAATGACACAATGGAAGCTAAGCAGGGGTGGATTTAGGCCATCTTCTGGACGACGGTCAGATTTTCAAGTTTACATTGTCATACATCTAACGTTTTCTGTCGGAAGACGGTCAAAAATGGAAGATGGATCAACAAGGATAATTTGGAAGACTGTCAGAAAATATCTCTGGATCCGCCCCTGCTAAGTAATATTCCGTCCTGAGCCGTACATGTTAAAGTAAATTTGCCCTGTTTTATATTTGCAGAGGGAGGCCCTTTTAATTGCGCCCTCCTTTACTTCACAAAGAAAAAAGCACTGCTTATCTCATCACACCTATCTTGACTGTTAATTGATGGGTTGTGTAGCTGCTAACATTATTTAGCAATTTTAACTCTCAAATACCTGTAGATATTTGTGTTAATGCTGCGTTTCCAAGGTTGGCGTTTGAGGACATCTTGTTAAGTATGGATTCACTGGCGTCGAGAGCTTTGTCCTGCAAAGATGAAAAAATATTGTTACTGTTGGAGAAATAAAATGTACATAAGGTTATTCTCAAGGTACATCTTTATAACATACAAAATACTGTTTACAAATACTTGATATACAGTGATTTCTATCTGCACAGTGTGTGAGGGTGGTTGGGTGTGTGTGTGTGTGTGTGGCTGTGTGCATGCATGTGTGGGATTGAAATCGTATGTATATATGTACATATACGACATCTACTTGTGAACTTCTTTAGCGTGCAGTGCTTGGTCTGCCACACGCGTGCATGTATCTGTACGCATGTATTGTGTGTGTGCGAGTGTGTGTGTGTGTGGGGGGGGGGTATGTAAGGAGAGATGTGTCTATTGCGGCCCTTGTGACAATATTCCCAAACAATTTAGTACATTAACTTACCATTGTAGCCTCTGTGATACCGGAGGCATCCGAGTCGGTGATAGACGACAGCGAGTCGGCGACCTTCGCCAAGCCGGCTTCATCGGTGACAGAGTCTATTACGTTCAACATGGCCGATACTGCCATATCTCGTACCTGAAATAATGTGTTCAAGCCAGCATAGAAGTTTAATTGATAAATATATTTCATTCATTTTTATTTATTTATTTATTGCTTTTGTTATTACCTTTTGACATTAAGGACATTAACTTTTGTTGTGCATGTTATATTGCAGGAGAATACTATATGATAAATACAAAGTAGGTAAAAAATGCCACGACATTCTTTTAGGTACATGTATCTGTGTTCCAGTGAAACAAACAAAGAAAGAAGAAAAAGATTAATGAACAAAAGAAAGACATATATTAGAAAGTAAAAGAAAAACGATTTAAATCATACAAGCCTTGTACAATGTTATTTCGGAAATCGATACCCATTGATTTGCCCGTAGCTACTCAGATCACCAATATAAGTAATTATAACACGGTTCAGAAGTGAGTATAATAAACATGACTACGAACCTGTTGTAACTGGCCGGTGTTGGTTGAACTCTGGAAATAATAAGAAAAATCCAGTTAAACAAATGGGAAACGTTTTTATGTTGTGAACGAGTGCACTGTGGTACATGTACAGTTGTGATGACAAAACAACGTTGAATAACTTTTTTTTGTCTCTTTCCATAATTTGTCTTGATGAAAACGGATTCTTCCCTGAAGTCAAAATCTGTTATATTTATCCACGAATATAACTTTTATCTGATTTCAAACAATGCCTATTAATGAAGCATTTCTCTTACTGTATTACTTATGGCGGCCACCACGCTGTCCAATGCGTCCGGTGAAGTTATTGCAGATGCATTGAAGGATTCCAACAAATCACCTTTAAATAGAAAGGAAGCGAGACGATATAAGTTAGACATCTATATATATATTCAAAGGCATGAGATTTAAATATACTCTCCTTTTATATATAAACAAATAAACACCTCGGGAACTCTGAGCTGGGGTTGATACATGTCTCTTGTTTTTAATTAATTAATTAATTATAATTTTATTTATTTTATTTATTAATTAATTGTGCATAAATGCTCCGGACAGTTGAGCACTCTGTACCACACTCGCTTATATATATATATATATATATATATATATATATATATATATATATATATATATATATATATATATATTTTTTTTTTGTGGTGGTTGGTTGTTTCAATATATATGCCAAGAAACACTGAAACGCCCAACCACCACAATGGCTACTTTAAAAACAGTTTTAAAGCAACGAACGTGAATCAAATGCCACGAGCAACTCTGTGGTGTATTTCTGTGCAAAAATATATATAGGCCTACATATATTTGTTTCACTTACCCAACTGATCCTCACCAGTGTCTTCAGGGCACACTGATTCATAGTACGATGCATCCAGAGTCCCGTTCTGTACCGCAGCCAGCATGGATGCACAGGCCGCTGCATCCGGTCCGGAATCTCCTGTATATCCCAAGGATCCGTTCGACTGCGCACACATGTATTCGTAGTCAACCATGGGGACAGTGCCGTTCAGGACAAGGCCGTAGAGGGCGCTGCAATACTCCGCTGAATACCCCGAGTTTCCGGGATGACCTGATGATCCGTTATAATACCCGGATTCACCGGGATAACCTGATGATCCGTTATAATACCCGGATTCACCGGGATAACCTGATGAGCCGTTATAATACCCGGATTCACCGGGATAACCTGATGAGCCGTTATAATATCCGGATTCACCGGGATAGCCTGATGAACTATTATAATATCCAGATTCTCCGGGATAACCGGATGAGCTATTATAATACCCAGATTCTCCGGGATAACCCGACGAGCTGTTATAATACCCGGATTCACCGGTATAGCCTGATGAGCCATTATAATACCCGGATTCTCCGGGATAACCCGACGAGCCATTATAATACCCGGATTCTCCGGGATAACCCGACGAGCCATTATAATACCCGGATTCACCAGGATAACCGGATGAGCTGTTGTAATATCCGGATTCACCGGGATAGCCTGACGATCCATTTGCACAAGAGCTGGATTCCCAGACAGTTTGGTTGACTTCATTATTTAAAAAGGCGGTGTACAGGCTGCTGCAGTAGCTCGACAAACCCCCTGAGGGTCCAGTGGAGTTTGTCATGTTGCCCCCGCACAGGGAGTCATAGTAGGACTGGTTTGATTTGCCGTTTAAGAGGTCTAAGTATAGCGCACCGCAGTCTTGACAAATCCCTGTAAAGATAGATACATGTCGGTGAAAATCGTTACTAAAATTGGCGCTCAACATAGGCACTGGATGATATCATCGTGAATTAGTTTTCAAGTTAAAACATCATCTGATGTTTGATAAGCACATCATTCTCTCTTTCTCTCTCTCTCTCTCTCTCTCTCTCTCTCTCTCTCTCTCACACACACACACACACACACACACACACACACATAAAAAAAAACAGTTGCACATGCCTCTTCAACCACATAGGCATGCGCATAGATACAGACAGACGGTTGCACCCACGCCAAGGGGATAAAAACCCAGTGAACATATTAGAATAATAGATAAAAAGACCTACCGTGATAAATACAGGCAAAGAGCAGGATGGCACCCACTACACATCTCATCAAAACCGTCATAGTCACCTGCAATAGATACAAGACAGAAATTAATCTAATTCAGATAGAATTGTGCCATGTAAATATGTTACGGAGAAGGAGAAGAGAAGCAGCACTAAAACATATGTTCCTTGTTTTCCTCGCTGGAAATAATTATGAAGTTACTAGGCCTATATCGATGCACATGTATAAACTTCATGCTGCGTTAGACTTGAAATTTTAATTTTCAATTTAAAACAAATTAAAATTGTCGAATCTATACGGAATACCATATAAACCCAAGCCACGTATAGGCCTAAAACATTAATGTCTTTCATCCTTCTATTACATTTTTCATCATAAAACTCTTTTCACTCTCTATCAATATGACTATCGTGCCTTGCGTTACACTCTTACAAATATACCTGTGTATCTCTCTGGCTATGAAACTGTTGTAATGAAAAAGTGTTGGTTGGCGGTTTTTTAGTAGTTCTTGTCCAAGCTCCTGTCCATCATATGTTATTTTACCATTTACTTCACAACGGTATTCACTTTCCTTCAGTCTTAAAAAGTCACGCAGTTTTTCTTTATCAGAACTTAAATATAGCCGTAATTGTTTTCTATTTACATTTATAACAAAAGAAACTAAACAAAGAAATGCCTTTTTTTATGAAATATCGGACCATTAAACATTGAATGATTAATATTAAGGGACTTCAATTCAATTCAAGGCTGTTTTGGTTATTTCCGTGGCAACACACTTCTGTTTTAGCTGCAGTCATTTATTCAATTTTCCTCGGTCTTGTTCTTAAGATTTTTTGCACAAATTACTTTATTATTTATCTTTATTCGCAAAATGGGCATGGGTCATAACACATTGTAAGGTCTTGCAATAAAATCTAATCGAATATTGATTAGTGCGGTTGCACTAATTAAATTATTCTGAGTTCACCGATTGGAAAGGCAATATTTGACCTTGTCGGGAGGAAATAAGTCACATAAAAGATTTTTTCCGTTAAATAAACAATTACAAATGGAATATAAAGTCAACTTGACTTCAATGCCATTCACTAGCTGGATCAATCAGGTCGGGTAATTTTGCAAAAGGTACATGCATTTAATTAAATAAGCACCTAAACGAGCAAAATATTCTTTGTAGAATTTTAGTATTATTTTTTGAAAGGGTATAGATTATCCAAATAAAATGCTGGGACGATAGAGCAATGATGGTTCGCGAATAATCAATGTTTAATATTCTTTCTCGCGGAAAATTCGAATATTACTCATAGTGAGCTGGACGTATGTATAAGATACAAATGGATAAAACTTATTGTACATTTCCAGTGACGGAATACCATCCGCACAAAGCGTTGCCGTGCTGGAAACATATAATTAGGCGCTTCTTGAGAAATGTTAATGATGTTGACTATAGATTATTTCTCGTCATTACCTTCCCACAAAATCGGCTGACCACAACCCGTAATGCAGGATATTGGTTTTATTGAACCCCAAAGCGCCAACGGGACGTATAGGATTTTGACTTGCACTTTTAGACCTGTGACGATCGAACTAATAAATGTTTGTGATAAATCCTGAAATCTGTGTCACAAAAAAAGTTTTAGCCCAAAATTCAGTCTTAATTTGTTGGTATGATTCTGTTTAAGATAAATTCAATGTAGTCCCTTTAAGTAAAAAGTTAATCGTCCACGAAAAAATATTTTTCATATTCTCTAGATGATACAGTGTAAAACAGAACTTTTTTTAATTAGAGACTAAATAACATCAGTCAAACTCGACGTATTGTCCTTGGCCTCGTGAATGTATTAGTCGGAAACAACAGAATTATCTTTCTATGTTTTATAACAAGCGCAATGATATATTTCATTGAGCTCTTACAAAATTATCTCGAGCGAAAATAGACTTAGACTTTGTTATAAAAATTCAATCAATTTTCAAGCTACAAATTTTTTAAGAATATAGGATCTCGTGCGAAACACCCGCGTTTTGGTCATCGAAGATGTTGAAAGCTTATTGATTCAATTATGAATGGTCTGGACCTTCAGAAGGTCGCACCCCAAGGTTGCACTGCTAGAGTGCTAGCCAGAGGCTAGTATTGAAAGTGGATAGGATCGATACCGTGTCCCTGGTATGACGGGACTCACCCAAACCCAATATCGAAGTGCAAAGAGGTCACAAGTTTGCTCTCACAAAAATTTTTAGTGTACACAGATTACAAACCATGTTTTTGATTATTTTGGGGGCCCACATAAAGAGGTTTGTATCAATTTCCACTGTCCTGGTACATGAATAATAAGGAATAATTCATCGTCTAGCCAAAAAAGGAACATACTGTCATAAATGCAAAACGTCCAGCTGTGGAAAGTTTTAATCACTTTGGAAATTCAAGATAACTGGTTTTGTTCTTAAGTATGACGTTGTTATAAATTAAAATAATTCCCTGTATAGAGCAGATAATTTTTTGGAGCGACTTAAGTTTGCTTGTCACTGAATGTTAAAAAGTGGGAAAATACACCCTACTGACAGTAAAATGAGCATTAAACAAACTATTTGCCATCCGTTGTCCAAATATTGTATCGGAAATGTCAAAGAAATGGAATCACAATATGTTTTTCAGTCAGCAACAGGAAGATCTTTTTCGATTGTACCTGGGCAAGACGAACATTTCTGACACTTTTTCTGGGGAATATACGTTTCGTAGCATTAGCCAGGACTCAGAGCCCCTTGAGTTACAGTTTAAATATTTATAAAAACATCCTTACGTCAGATATAATTTACCATGACTGAACCATTACAATATATATCTGAACGCGATATAAAAAAATAAGATTATATACCCCGGAACATACGTTACAATTGAGCTCCTTACACAATGTATAGACTTGGTAAATATTTGATGTATATGTTAAATTAAGACAGTCGTGGATTTATGTTCTTTACACACAAATGTTTGAAAAAATTAATACAACTTAGAATTTAGACAATTTTATTTTTTGATACCGTGTTCATGTGAACTGCACCTCTATATTGAGATCGGGGGATCAGAGAGTTCCCCACGAAAGAGAGTGTGGTTCCAATTAATTTGCAATGCCCTAGATTTTGACCCACTAATCTGTATAATTAAATGGAGGAAGGACTGTACGTTATACAGATCCTCAGATTCGTCACGGCCTTAGTTATGTCGTTCTAATGGCATGCCCAGCTCAGTTCTTTCTTTGACTGAAACTGCATCTAAGTCCACCTAGCCAGCAAATTATCTTTTGAAATCCCTACCTAACAAAAGAAGACTTCTGAATCTTAAGAGCAGTAAACGGGGTTTATGTTTTTTTTAAGTTTTTATCCGTACGCAGTATCAAATTTCAATCCCACTTTTAAACCAGAATCATACATAGTTTTATGTGCATCTGTGTTTGTTTTTTAATTTAATTTTTTTTTGATTAATTAACTTATCTATTTTTATTTATTTATTTATTCATTTTTATTTATTTATTTTTATTTTTTGACAAAGGCACTATAATAAAGTAACAAGGATCCCATTGTAACTTCCATGTATTTCAAGCTTAATGGTGAAGCAGCCAAATATCACATTGAAAATGGTGAGTCAATTATATTTTCAAAAGAAAAGATATGCCCAATTTTTAATCCAATGTATCTTAATGTCTTTCCCAAAATATGCACATCTGTTCTACGTCACTTAAAGAGGAGCCTTCAAACAATAAACAACATCAGTATACATGTCGCAATTTGGATATTAAGGAGACAAAGTTATTAATACATAGCACAAATGTTCGGTAAATTTACACAGGTGGAAAGTGTCAACCTTGCCCAGTTATCCATTCGTTACAGCTTTAAAACAGACCAAGTTAAATATTTAAAACGCAAACAGAAGAACTGTTGTTTGGTAATAATCCGTCAAACGAAATTACTAGAGTTTTCGATATTTTTCTTAAAACCAATATTCCGATTCATATTTTGTCGCAAGATAAAATAATGCTTCATTTTTTATTCAAAAGTGAATTTTGCTTTTATAACATATTTTATTTCATTTCCTTAGACTTGACCGTAATATTTTCATCATTTCTCCTGATATCCGCCTTATGTGATTTCTTTGTCAGAGTTAGTTCAACGTTTTCACTTTTACTTTTTTCAAAAATTCAGTGAACAAATAATTAATTTAAAGATATAAATTTAAAGCGAAATTCTGTTAAACCCTTCCCCTCATAATTTACACTGTATCTCCAAATAGGTCACTTCAATACTACAAAGCTTCGTTTTATCATTTTCAGCTTTTTGTATTTATTTTGCATTGCTTAAACCATATCTGTATTATAGTTTTTTGCTTACCTTCCCAGAGAATACATACGTAGAATAAAAACGATTACAATTTTAAAGAAGGTACAGTTTAAAGCCTCTTTTGTCTCCCGAAAGATACATTTTTGTCATGGGGATTTTGTTTGTGTCATATAGGAAACTGATTTTTATAATGTATATACGTTACATGACATTTGCTTCAGCTTCATATATATCTTTAAACAAAGAAATACAGTGTCAAAGAATAACTGCAGGAACTCAGAATTTTTTAAATGCGCAGCCCGACTATTTTATGCCACTGTTGATAGTTAGACACTAATTGTGCAAGTTTCCAGTAGAATATATAGTAAACTGATATATCTCTAAATTAAGAAAAAAGCGGATCTGTTAAAGTATTATCCACTTACTTTCGGAAGGTCGAATTGGTGAATACCCACACACTCAGCTCTCCATAGTGCTGCTCAGCGTTAACGTGTGTTTCTTCTTGATGGAAACCTACAGGAGTCAGGCGACATGGAACTCTGTTAATATGATTTGACCCCGGTCTTCGCTGAAATTTATCCTAACCCGACCTTATTGAATTTCGAAATTTGACGAACCAAGCACGAAGGAAATAACCACTTTCAGACGTCAGAACTTTGATACATGTTCGATTAGTACTAGAAATCAATCAGGACAGTTTCATAATTTCAACAGTGAGTAGACGACGAGGGGTTAGGTTATCTAAGGAGTTATAGTACGATATTGTCAACAAATCTTTGTAAAATGGATTAATTCTCATTGATAACATTTTTCAATTAATTGGTTGTATTTTTTATAGTTTGAAGTATTGTTGATTTCTATTTTTAAACACAATTATTTGGTGTAAGGTGCTGACAATTATGTCAGTATATGATTTGTAGATCAATAGCGCATATTCTCGTATTCTCGTATTATGTGTTTTATTGATTATGTTTATACATGTCAAATAAGGATACCTCAATTATCTTTTTTTTTTTTAAATTTCATACATGGTTTTTTATGGTTTGGATACAAAGGAGCGTTCTCTTTTTACGGTTCACCTTTTTTTTTTTTTTTTTTTT